CAAGCTATGCATGGTCATTCAGTAGGCGCAGGGGTCCTGTGTCTGGCCACAGTGACAGGCAAATCCGAAACCGGATGCCGGTAAAACATTATATATATATATATATATATATATATATATATATGTATATATATATATATATATATATATATATATATATATATATATATATATATATATATATATATATATATATATATATATATATATATATGTTACATCGCTAGCATTTTCATGTGGCAAATCAAACAGCCAAACAAAACATTGGATCCATACGCAGACTGGAAGCTCTGAATAACAATTGACAATTTGCAGGTGGGACCGATCACAACGGCGTACGTAAGCATCTCTGGGCCAAACTGCGAGCGACCCCGAAGCCTGGTGGTCGCAGCATGAGTCGGAGATAGATTTGGCCGCTGTCGTTAATCATTGTGTGCTATTGTCTAATACGGTAAACGGGCTATAGGAGCCTTGGCGTCAGCGGGACCATGCGCAACGAGTTAACCAATGCACAGCTTTTTAAAATACCCAGAACGTTTATCTTCTAATTTTATCCGCAACTTGAAATCGTAATCTGCAGTTCAACAATCTTACGACGAACTGAACTTCCAACTGACAATGATGAATGAAGGTAACGAACCGAATGCTGGTTGGAATCGCCTCAAATATGTCATGAAGTATCACTTCGGCGCATGCTGTGCACCCAACTCTGGAGCTTTGGACATCGTGACCGAAACTAGAAATATGTTTCTACGGAAATGACATCTGATAATCAGTTTTGGGATTGACCGGGGATGTTGGTGGGTTGTAAAGAGCTGTGAGATGGAGAAAACCAGTTATTGGAAACAGTCGAGTTCCGTTCCAGCTCATCCGGAACACGGATTCGAGAAAGATATGCGTTAGCAACACAACAGCTGAGGAAAACGGACAGCTGATCCATTCTCAGCATCGTCGACTAGCCCGTTGGGCGGAACATCTTGGAGAGCAGTTCCACAGGCCTGCTACGACATTGCCGTTGGCCGAATCGCTTGAGCCGTCGTGCGAAGAGGTCACGCGTCCCACTTTGGAAGAGTTTTGACATGAGCTTCCCAAGGTTCATGGACCCGATGACCTTCCTCCATCTTTGTTGAAAGATGGTGGTGACCCTTTGTTGATTGGACTCGCTACTCTAACACGATTTGGAACAGTGAAGTACCTTCGGACTAGAGATCGTCGTATCCATCTTTAAGAAGAGTCATCGAGGCTGCAGCCGTATTTACAGTGGTTTAAAAGCTTTCAGGCGTATCTTTCTTGGATGACTTACTGGTCCCCTTGAAAACCGAATCACTAAAGCCGGGCTTCCGCTATGGTCGTGGTTGCATGGACCACATATTCACTCTTCGCTAAGTGTTAGAGCAGAGACACATACAGAAGACTGACAATAGTGATTTTCTTGATTTGAAGGCTGTCTTCGACTCAGTTGACCGCGATAGCTTGTGGCACCGCTTGTAAATGAAAGACGTGCCGGCTAAATTCCTTTCTATTCTTAAATCTCTCTACCGTGACTCCCAAGGCCGTGTAATGGAAACTCTCTCCTGAGTTCTCAACAGGTGGGGTTCGCCAGCGTTGTCCTATAAATCTCTTTTCCTCTTCAACCTTTTATTGAAATGACCATGAGTGACTCCATCGGAGTGGAAATTCTACCAGGTGACTGACTGACAAACCTGGTATGCGAACGATACAGCTCTTCTTGGGTCCGACGCAGTGACTATGCAAACACTGCTGGATGAACTGTCGCGTAGCGCCGCAGGCTTTGCGCCTTCAAAGTGCAAAGTATTGCTGCAGGACTGGACTGACACTATCACCGAACAACCACTGGAATTCGCGGATCGGTTAACTTACCTTGGTAGCTGTGTTACCTCTGGTGGTCACATCATTGAGGAAGTTACTTTGCGTATTAACAAAGCTCGTGTGACTTACTAAAGACTCAACCATCTATGGAGACGGAGGGATATTAGCCGTCAGTGATAGGTTGGGTGCATAACGCTACGGTACTGTATGGCTACGGTCACTATACGGATCAGAGACCTGGCCAATTCGCGTCGAAGACATAAAACGCTTGGCCGTGTCTGACTACCGATGCTTGCGGAGCATTGCGCACGTTTAGTGGGAACACCGAGTGTAAAATAGAGGTCCGCCAGTAGGTTTTTAGCAAGTAGACTTTGCTTGTTTCTCTCGAGGCCATGTCCTCCGTATGGCCATTGACTGGATTCCTCGGTTCGCATTATAGCTGTGGCTGCACCAAATTGGGTGAAACCGCGAGGCGGCCAGCCCATGACATGGCATAGTGGCATGAAGTAAGTAACTGTGGAAATTGGTCAGGCAGGTGCACGCCGTCTCTCTGGGCGGGGGACTCGGGATAGTGCATACTAATGGTTGGAGACCGTACCTGACATGGCGCAGTCAGTGGCGTCCTTGCATCTGGTTGTCAATTATCGTTCCATTTCGATTAGTTTAACGCACTTCCTTTTTGTTTCCACTTTTCTTACATTATATTCGCCTTCAACCCGACTATCTTGCCGCTGTCAATAATTGTTATTCTTTCGATGTTGCTTGTGACAACTGGATCCACCGCACATTTGTGCTCAGATCATAGCTGATCAACTAAACAGAACTGAACAGGTCGAAGGTGGGATCAGGCTACTGAAATTGAATAAAGCCGCAGGAGCGTATAGAATACTTCCGGCCATCTTCAAATTCAAATCGTGTTCCTGTGGATGATTTGCAAGGTGGATCGATGTGCCCTTTAGGACTGCTCACTCAGGAAAGGTGTACGATGTGTAAACGCCAAAAGAGTGCTGTAGGCGCCGCACCTCAATATCTCCAGCGACGAGATAAGGTTGCTCGATGTCACCGTACTACTAGAATTCAAGATTAACGAACTTAAGAAGGCCGAATTCATTGGACACTTGAAAATTGTGGAGCTGCTTTCAGGTGATTGACGTGGTTGGCAACCGTCTTCGGCCATGCTTTGCACTCTAGAAATGCAAAGCTGTTCGAAAAGATTGGAGGGACTAACCCATGTGCTGAGATTTGTTGGGTACTAACTAAGTCTTTCAGAAATTCGAGTATCTCTGCAGCTATATTAACGCCTATAGGATCGAAGAAAGATCATCAACCGTTAAACAAAAGATCGGGGCGCTTTTGCCAGTTTCCGCCACATATGGCACCGGTGCGACAACGCTTTCGTCCCGAAGTGCAGCCGTGCAATACACTCTATTGTATGGCTGCAAAACCTGGTCCATCAGATCAACAGACAGAGGCTAGTCACGTTTATCATCTGGTGGGAACTTCGCGTGAGCAATCAGAGTGTCCGACGTCTTCATTCAGTGCAGCAACAGTGAGTGAACGGTTAGACACCGGGCTCTGATAGCCAGCCCACGTAGTGCGTAAGCCAGCACACCGACTCCGCAACGTGTGTTGCTCTTGCGACCGAGGTGTGGATGGAAGAACAGGAGCGGACACCAAATAAGGACTTAATCAGGAGGTATGAAGTCCCTCAGTTCGAAATTGGCGTTAGTTGGTCCCACGACTGCCGGTCTTGGGTCCCAAGGACGAGGAACATCTCTGGTTAGATACAATTGTTGACATTGTGCAGAGCCAGGATCAATAGCGTGTTGTTGAGTTGTATTTCCTTTTTCCTCCAATCACGTCCCCACACCACACGCACAATATTATAATAAGCAACACATTACTTTTTTGCATTTAGCTTGTTGTTTTGTTTCGCTTTACTTCACATACCGTCTTGTATTGTAGCACAACGGCCGAAGTGTGCGTGTGTCAACTTCAGCCTAGGTGTAATGATGATGACCAGCGTGTCCGCAACGATGTGTGCAGGTGAGTGCTGGGTAGTGACAATCGGGCTAGTTCCATACAGCAGCAAAGGGCAATTAATCCGTTGCGTCAGCTAAGGTAGTGATACGTAAGCATCTTGTTTATTTGCCAGAAAAATGGTGGAGTAAGGCTCGAGGTGGGTAGAAGTTAGCTTGGTTCGCCTCACTTTCCACGCTTGTCTCCGTGGACCGGTTTGTACTTGGCTCGAGACGCTACAGGAAACAGCTCGCATTCGACACCAGTGGCGCGACTGCTGTCGTCTCGTAGTGTGACTGCCTGTTTAAAGTGCGTTTGGTGCTCAGTTGTCTGCGAGGTAATGGCTGATTAAGACGCGAGGTGGTGAAATGCGCAAGAAAGCTGACTGGTCGATGTCGATCTATCTTTGCAAAATAGCCCACTGTTTGGGACAGTATGTTGTTGATGTGCAAACATCTTCACTCTGAACGTCTTGTGGTTGTACGGCAACGAAGCACCAGTTCGAATGACCTGTGTACAGCTACTAATGCTGATTAACTTAAAACGTCAATATATTCAATTGCAGTAACCAAGCAGAAGTGCAATGTCATTGGCCAGCGTCGTCTCTCGTAAAGCTGCACTAAGTGGTGATTGATGCGCCTAAACAACATTCAACTATTACAAATACTCAGTTATCACGTCTAAAAGTCCGAAATATGTAGACAGGTAGTGTGTTCGAATGAAAAACCAGATAACTCTCCACTTGTTTACGTGAGACACAGGTCAAGTTGTCGTCGCTGGAAGTGAGAACACCGGCTGATGTAGAAAGGATAGATAAACAGAGGCAACTTCTTTCTATTAAATAGAATATCTGCAGAAAGAGCTGGACTAACTGCGAGATAGTCTGTATAGAGACTACGAAAAACTACAAAAGTCGAAAAAGGCTCGATGTACTAAAACTCAATGAACGCAGTATTCTGAACCTACATGACCTATGACTGAAATAGAAACACTGATTGACAGTCCCATGACGTGAATTGTAGACCTGAGGAGTGGGATTCACCAGACTAACAAGTAGCTATAGTGTCAAACCTTGTCAGTGCTGAAACTGAGCAGCATGTGTTCGCTTGCATATCCCTCAATCACGGTAGCTGATGAAAGAATATAACTCTGTGGACCAAGAATAATTTTTTAAAACGAATATGGAAAACAAGGTATCTAACAAGTAATTCGTATTCACATTCTCGACTGCGCTAGAGATGAAAAAACATTCCCGTATTGGGTGTGCTGCAAAAGAAAATAAGAGGACGAACACAGTAACTAGTAAACTCAAGCAATTTAAAAGTTCAGTTGTTGTGCTGTGAAAATCCATGACCGAAGATAAAAGAGAATAGGGTTGATGGACATGAACCCGCCGATGTAAACGCGAAAGACAAAGATGCGGGAATGCTGACAGCTCTTCACCATATATAACGGCGCGGAACTTAGGACGCATTAATCAAGGAACCACAAACCACCCAATTGGCAGTCAATTAGGAATTTATTTGACGGGAACCGTCAATGGTCTAGTAAAACAATATGGCGATGTGTGGTCCAACGTGCATTCAGACGAATCCTGTAAGGCCACCAAGCGATTCCCATCGACAGCATACAGGCACAATCACCATGATTACGAACCATACTGGCTTAACCGGCGAAAAGAGAGTTGCTTTGGCGTGAATCTCAAACAAACTCTTTGGCAGTAGGTGAACCGAGTAAGATTTAAGACGCCGAGAAGTATGTAGACCAGTTTAACGGACGCCCGGTAGCAGACAAGGTAGAGCGCAAAACTAGATGGAATAGAAAAGTACGGAGGGGTTCGCAAAAGAAAAACTTGTGAAAAGCCGGACATAAACCAGGCACTAGCAGTTCATTTGGAGGAAAGAAGGCAGAAAGACACCAGCAGTTCCCTGGTACGCAGTGCCGACGCTTCTCTGCCGCGCAACGATCACAGGTCGCACGTGAGCTGTGAATACTGCGAGGGTCGCCCGGTCCCTAAGCAGGCTCGAATCCAACATCAGATTACAAAGCGAGGTTGCCATTTAGAGGAACTGAACTGAAGGAATCTCTGATTAGATCATGCCAAACAGCAAACGCCAAGTGCGACGCGAAAGAAGCCGCCGAACAAGCGACCCAGATTCGGATAGATAATAAGACGCCTTAGGGTAAAAAATGAATGGATGCAGCTCCGAAGTGATTTAGAATTAGTGGAGTGGCTGTGCGTGCCTGTAGTGAACACAAAATTGTCAGTGCGAGACTACTAGTTGCTTACAGAGGAATGGTCAAGACACTAGATAAATCCGTTTTTGCGCTGATTACGAAAAATACGATAGAGGATAAGAAGCACAAATGAGATTCACGAATGTTGGTAGCGACGAACATATCATGCAGTCAAAAAACTCACCGTGGCGAAACAGCAGCGTGATCGGCAAAAGCTGGAACAACCGCATGGGCAGCGGTAGCCGTCAACCTTCTGTCTTGAACAGATGTAGTTAAAACTACAGTCGCAGCTTGAATCGGCAGGAACAAGCGTAAGAGCAAAGAAATCCTTTAACGGCACACATAGTTGGATGAGCATGCCGATGTTAATGCTGGTGAACAGACGGGCGTCCTTCGATCAAATGTGCGACGTACGATCGCTAGGAGATTCAGAAAACGGCTAAATATGAACGTCGTGAGTGCTCAATTCTTAGAGGACAGCGGACGCAAATCGTGGCTGTGTAGTCAAGATGCTTAACAGAACGGAGAATTCCAAAGCATGCATTAGAGGTTGCAAGGGTATAAAAACGCTCCGTCTCGAGGCTCATAAGACAACAGACGCAATCGCAATGGAACGCCATTGGAGAACAGCGAGTAAAAATACGAGTCAAACTGCGACCCGGTTGGGGGTTACAGGGCTGAAAAGTAGAGCTGAAATCGTCCAACTGGCTGATTCGGTAGAGGTACCAGCCAATAACCAAGACTATGATAACGCGGTGCACAAACGGGCGCTCGAGCGCAAGAGGTCACTAAAAAGGGACGAAATTGTAAGACAAACATTGCCAATGATACCATCCATATGAAGGGAAAAGGAAACCCCAACTGGAGTAAATTTTTTGGACGGTAGCGCCGAGTATTCCCCATGAGTCATCAAGAGCAGTAGGAAACAACAAGCTGTGGAATTTACACGTATAGTGTGAGGCTACGTAAGAATAAACGGTATATCTCTTAACATCGCTGAAGCAGTTTGGATGGAGTGGAGCGACTGCTTGTACTCGCGTAAACTGCTACTGTGAAAGAGATGCTAACGCACCAACCCACGTCCATGCGCAGAAAATAAAAAAGATGAACTCGCAAGAAGGACAGCAAATGCTGCGCAGTCAAAAAGGCATCAGCAGTAAGCTAATGCGCCAATATCGACTCCTCGTTGACACGCGACCACTACCAGTCGCGCGTAAGCAAGATACCAGGTTATCCGCATCTACGTAAATCGGAACCAGTGACTTTTGGGTTACATCACAGTATCCTTCCGACCCACGTAGCAACAAATTTTTTAAAAATTGCTATAGAATTACGAAATCGAAGACTGAAGCAACAACGAGAGAATGTGTTTACAGGGAACTTTCGGCCGCGGAAGTGGCGATCAAACAATCTAGGCGAAACTGCGGTCCACGCACCGCACACATTGCAGGGAGCGATTAAGATTGATCGCAAACGCGTCTGAAGGATAGATCAGATATTCGGCGCACGTCATCCGATTACATCAGGTAGATGTGAGCATATTCACATTATGATCAGAATTACTTAGTTGGCGAGGTGGTCGACCTGAAACCAATAAAGCTTGGGCTCCAAATGTAGCCTTACACAGGTTCTTGGACTGGAGATAACCAAATGTTAAACATGAACTGAGTAGGGTTACTCTAGTAAATTTTAACGGCATGACGGCGGCAATCGGCATTACCTAGTTAGTGATTGAGAACCAAGCGGAACGTGGGTGTGAACGGGCGATGAAATCAGTGTCCACTATTTACCATGGAACGAATAAAACGCATCGATAGGATTTAGTGGAAGACGATTTTGAACTCTGCACAACCAGACGAAGGAACGTGCAAGCGCGAAAAAAAACGACGCGCAAGAGGCAGCCAAGAAGCAAGGAGGAAAAGACCTCTAAAAATTGCCGTTTCCTTAGAGTTATTGTGATGAATAAAGCACCGGATTTCTTACGTCACTTGAAAAATGTCAAATCGATGGGCTCCCTTGATAGACAATGACCGTACAGCTCGGCGAATAAAGAAACGGGCAATCCCCAGGGAACTGAAGATTGCCAAGGAGAAAATGAGATGTACCAAACGGCACATTATCACGAGGAATTTAAATCCAGGGAAGATGAAAGCGAATAGTATCACGACAAAACTGTGCAAAAGCACGACAATGAGGCCATTCAGGAGATTGACGAGGTGATCTACCATAATCCGAAAACCAGCCCAAAGCTAATGGGGAAAAAGCGTTAGTCCTATTCGAAAAATTTGTGATACACATCCGTCATTTAACAGTCAAGTAATTGGCTGAAGTAGACGTAACCCAGTACAACAGGAAAGATGAACTGAACGAAAACGGTGGGAGCACTTTTAGCAACTGCAATGAACGGGCAACCTGAAGTTGCTAGATAGGAGAAACGTCATGTTGGAAATAAAATACCACAGGTAGACGTGTTTAAAAGTTTCCAAAATATGGCTGAGTCCAGCCAGGACCCCAATTTGGAGCGTTAGCTGGACCAGGAGCTGGTACAGGGTTTTGAGAAAAAGATTGTTGGCCGAAGTTAGGCCATGATTGAGGAAACGCTGAGTTCTGAGACACAGAATTAACTTTGAGATTCCCAGATGAACCTCGAGAGCGCATACCGCCATTATCTGCGGTGAAATTGTGACCTGGTGCTTCGAGAGCTGGACGTCTGTTCACATTAGCCCCCGTGAAAGGGGAAGTGGGGTTTGCATTCCACGAAGGCTGAGTTCCACTGGGCGCTCTGTTATCGCCCCATTGATTTCCAGCCCAGCTGGGGTTGTTTCCACTGACGATCGTAGGTTGCACAGGATCATTCGCAACGGGTGGCATTGCAGTAGTGGCATTATCAGGCGCGCGTCTGTCCCACCTATTCGCACCTGGTGCTGGTGCGCTCAAGGGGGGCACAGGCTTATACGCGCTGGCGCTTGCCGGGCCAAATTTACCTTCATTAGTTCGGTTGTCACTTGGGAGTTGGTTAGATCCAAAATTAGAAAAAGGCGCATTAGACGCTAGTGGGCCGGACGTTGCTTCACGAACCCCGGCGAAAACGGAATCGCCGAGAACCCCAGGATTGGGCCTTGATGGGTAATTACTACCCATGCTATGCAGATCAGGAGCGGATGAGTTCACATTAGGTAATGCAGATCCGTTCTGGTACCCAGACGAACCCCCAGTGAAACTAGGGGCCCTCATATTTTGGCTTGAGAATCTTGAGACGTCACTGTGGAAACTCGTGCCCACAGGATTCCCGAAACGGCCAGCAGGCGGCTTTGGGCCAAATGGTGGTTGATCTATAGAAGACAAGGTTTGAATATATTCGCCGTTGTCAGTTTATGAATATAGCGTAAAACACGAAAGTCTACGGTGCACGGTTTACATATGGTGGGTTCACAATAATTTCAAAAAGTGCCTACATTTCCGCCAAAACACTGGCGACGGTAAATTTCCGCAACGGAACCATAAATAGAGTGAGGCTAAAATACCCAGAATCGTCATCGCGAGATGTTAAATCCGGGCGTAACACAGGCAAATGACAATACAGTGCTACAAACTTACATAACTTAATAAGACGCCAAGACGAAACCGGAAATCAGCCGAAAAAACAAGTTCATTGGATAGGGCTACATCAGAAAACCGCACAAATGCAACATTCCTGTGTAGGGAAACGAGGTTGTCACTCCAAGTAGCAAATGTGGAAGACAGAAACAACGGTAACGTGAATACCGTTGTCGCTGATATCACAAACATGCAAATTAGTTGTTCGATTAAAGTTACAACAGCAACACAAGGTGCTCATGTCGGTTGAGTAAAAGTGCAGAATCCGTTGAGAATTGAAATTTGTTGGAATTTTGATACTAGGCAGTTAATTTAATTTGAGACAATGGTCGCAGATTGCGGTAGCTGTCAAAGGCGGTAAAGTAATTTGTTCTTCCACAGCGCATTTGCCGCAGTTAGGAAGTTCTTAGTGAAGTGATGCTATGCCGCACGTGTGCTAGCCGGTATATTGCTCCGGCATTGATAGAGGACCAAATGTTCACAAATTTGCTTACAGAAACAAAGCCATGCGTTGGAACCAAAGCAAACAGCTATATGAATGAGTACAGATCTCGTCGATTTCAGAAGTTAGTTACCATCAGAGAAAGTGGAAAATAACCGGATAATTGGCATTGCCCGACGCATGATCAGAATAAAAAACTGAGGCGAGAGGTCGGTTGACAAGGCTAGCAACGTAAGGCGTCTATGAGATTCGTCAGATGAAAACTTAATTGAAAATCTTTAGAGGTCCTCAGTATAAACTCGAGAAAACAAAGACGGCGAGCGTGCGAAGGTCTTTTGTTCGCACTAAACAGCAGTAAAATGGTGCTTTGCACTGGTGTGCAATTGACGGGGTACAACGAAAGTAGCGAAGCGCACGGGGTGCATGCACCCCTCAAGCACCACATGGCCATGAATTAGTGCTAAAAGAGGCAGGACAACTCCATATAAGCAACTATCTTCCCGGGATATGATCAGGTTTATCCCGCAGATTACTAGCAACACGTACACGGTACACCAACAGCCTGGCGACGGCAGATAGCCCCAATGCCTGTTGCAGGCCATGTCATGTAGCATACCGAGTCATGAGCGTTAAAATGGAATGCGAAGCAAAACAATGGGGACAGTGGTGTTATTTTTCGCTGTTAACATTTGCTCACGGAAGTGGGCTCAAAGGAGACACAAGATTCGGCAAATGAATAGGCACTCCCCGGTAAACAGAGGGCCGAAATGATCACAAGCCTGTGCTGCAATCCGGTGATCGCGGATTCGAGCTTGCGTGGGAAACCGGGTGACGCACGCAGTATCATCTGTCTACGCGCGACTGGTGATGGTTGCGTGGCAGCGAAGCAGCGGTTCAGTGTACTGCCTTTTGCTGGCTTGTAGCCTAAAGGAACACAAGCCTGCCTTGTAATCAGAGGGCGCAGATTACAACCTGCGTAGGAGTGGACGACCCTCGCAGTATTCGTGGCTCACATGCGACTGTTGGTGGTTACGCGGTAGCTGGGAGTCGGCACTGCGTACCGGCACACCGTTGATACTGTATGGGTAGAATGTGCTTAAACCAAGATTAGGCGATCTGCCGAAACGACTGCGGTATTGGACAGGTGGGTTTCAGCAATCCCCGATAATGGGCGGCAAGGAACGACTGAACATACCATGTTTCATTGCCCGAGGGTATAACGAAACTTACTGCGTTTGCGCATAAGACATTTAATGCAGAGCTGACCTTCCTATGTTAACTTCGGCAGTAACACCCGCCGATGCGACTGCAGTTGTCAAGATAAATGAATTGACCGATCAGCCGCAGTACAAGGTTTAAAAAATTGGTGAAAAACCGATATTTTGTGCCTTAAATGATGAGAACAAAGGACGGTCGTCAGTTAGCTGAGCTGCAAGAGTATACAATCCGCACAACCATTTTTACTAGGAACCAACATTCGTATTGTTAGATTTTGAGAGGAAACACTTAGTGGAGTTCATAGCAAAGTTGAATTAGATTGGTGAAAAGGGATAACCATAGCGAAAGTCATCAGTTTGCATGCACCTTGATGCTACACTCGGTGTTCGAGTACAAGGTAAGATGAATGCACTTTTGGAGTAAACTTCCGAATAAGTACGTCGAAGAAAGTGATTGAACGTTTGGTGTGTCTATGTAGGGAGGAACACTGATGAGATATTCTAATGCTTGACGCAGGGTGAAAACACGGGAAGAGATCAGCACGATCTCATTTACTGAAGGCGAAAGCGGACTAAACCGGCAAAGGTGTCGTGTGGATGCACTGCTTGAACATTACCATCGTAGCCTATCAATGCCAATTAATTGGAATGGTCTATTTTTATTATACCTATTCAAATAGATGGGTCAACGTATTGTGGATGGTGTGAGTAAAAAATCCAAATCAATGGCTCAGAAATTATTAGGGCGTGCGATAGCATTCCGAGCTGCAATCCCCACGTAGTCTGTTATTGTGATTCTGTCCGCACTACCTAACAGAAATGGGTCGACTAAACGGATCCTGAGATTTCTATTTAACTAGCTAGACGGTACTGTCTACTGTGAACCATTGGGTGTTATTTCCGATCGTTTCACTGATGAACAAGCTCTTGGCACTAGTGTTAGTTCAATGGATGTAGTCCGATACAACTGAGCCAGCCAGACCTCGTCGGCTGTTTTGGTCCGCGCCTGAAAGTCCAGCTAGTCCCATCTTCCCGGGCGCCAGCAGTATTGTTTTTCGGATTTAAATAGTTTCACCGATACGGCATACACAGTCTAGTGCTATAACAGCTGGTGCTGTAAGTAGATCCAACGTCGCGCATAGTGGCAGACACAAATCCATTAAATACCGAGTTTCTCAGAGTAGTCCGGTGACAGGTATGCAGGGCAGCCTAGTAAGTCTGCTTAACCGGAAAATGAGGTAGCTTCTTATTCGACAATCGAGGAAGCGCTTGATAGGCTTGTCGGTCAAGTTCGTGAGAAGCGGGTGGCATGATATGACATGAAAGGAGTTAATGAACGTGCTTTAGATCGAGTGACAGTTCAGGCCGGAACCGCGCCAGCTGAATCTTACAGTGACGTCCACCGGCAGCTATCGGAAAGCGGCAATTGGCACATTGTCACCCACTGTGCCTGCCCGATGCATGGTTGCAATAAACAATTGAAATCGTCCACGCTTCCGTATTTAGTCCAAATGTACCATCTGAGGGGCTGAGACGACTTATATGCGCACACATATCCCCTGAACTAGATCGATACCTGAACCAGTAACAGTGTGTTGGAGGAGCCCTTTAAATGTATCGGGACTGCAATCAGAAAGAGAACAAGCAGTAATAACAAACAGCGTCAAACTCTGCTCTGGGTGCTTACGTGATGCTTATGGTTGCCCACAATAATCCAATTAACTACCGATAACAGCCCTGGAGTTAATAACGATGCAATCTCCAGCTTGAGATGGGGTTGCTGCGTGAGTATCTCTATGAGTGTAAGAAATAACAAGTTGGCTGCAGCTAACTTAACACCACCTTGAAGATCACTAATTCAAACTGGTTATAAAGCGCGCGTCAACACAGTGTCCAGTGTACGAATGTTAACCTCTGCTTCATGGTTCGCACGCTAGAAACCGCCAGAGACTAGCAGATTATGGCCTTATAAGCTTTTGCTAGTGGGGCTGTTTGACTGCAGATGAGGGAACTACGTTAATATACATGTCTTTCTTAAAGCCAGCGATGTGAGGAGTACAGTAAAAAAGGAAAAGTTAGCAGCACGCTAAAGTGGTCTTGCAACTGTGCGACAAACAATAAAGTGAAGCTGTTGCACGGAAGCTGGGAGACAGACAGGATATCCAAACCTCACAGACCAAAAGTTAGAGAGCAAAGCAGCGGAGAAACGAAAACGAACTAGATGAGCCTTTCACACGGAAGCGGTCGTTACATCAGCTCATGTTACAAGCAACTTATACGACCCCTACCCATCGAAAAAGTCAGTAAACAAAAGCATCACATCAAACCGGCACACCGTCATGACGATATGTTGTTACACGAACACTACCAATAGCGCGTAAGCTGAGCAAGCAGTGAAGTTGCTCGTATCCACGGGATATCTGAACCGGCGAAACCTTGACATAGAAGGCGGCCTTTCGGCCCCTGGCTAAACAAGCTGGTAGTAGTTCTTAAGAGGCAGATGAAAGCATTTGCAGAGCCAAGCGCAGCCGAGGTAATCAAACCGTGGCACTACATTAACGCACAGTCGCGTAACCACAAATAGCTAAGGTACTAGCGTTCCAAGTGAACCGGCGTATACTACACTTTTTAGTTCAGTGAATAGGAGTTATTTTGGCATCGACTTGCGATCAGTCTACAAGAACCAACGTGTAGCGCAACGAAGGTAACACTTGCAGTGCACGAGGATGAGGGAACAGCAAAAAGTAACAAATATCAGACAATCGGGGGTAAGGCGGATTAGATAGAAAACAGAATAGACCGAATGCATGAGTCCAAATGAAACTCTCGCTGAAATACACTTTTACTAGTCAGCGGGAAAACATAAATCAGCACCATGGGCAGCAAACAGTAGGGGCATTTGAAAAGGTGACTTGTCGGTGACAGGTGATCGTAAGGATTTCATTCTTAAAACAAGTCATCGATGTTGTGCACTCGATGTTTAAGCGCTGATAAATAATAATAATGTCAGAGGTACGCCGTAACGGCGCTTCGCTGCCGTGCCACCATTATCGGCGCAAGCGGCCTGAATATACCGCGAGGACGCCCACCCCTAAGCGGATTCGAACCCGCGCCGAAGGTAACTAGCCGCAGTGATATGGCGGTTACCAATTGGCGCAACGATGATAGATTGTCGCAGTCGACAAGCTAATGAGTCACCGTCCTCGCAGATGACTGACCCACAGGAGATAGGCCGGAAAATCGCCACCAATGAGTGACACCAAAGACAGGAACGAGCGATTATATGAAGTTGACAATGGCAAACGTATCGCCAGTACACTTGTCTACGCAGGTGTAGACGGCTGCTAGGGAGTAGGGATGATTCCGAAGCGCCAAATCCTAGGGTTTTATGGAACAGTGAAGGAAGACGTCAAGCCTGTATCAGAACATAGTCGCTGATCTTTCTCTGGAGGTAGGCAGAAGTGTGGTTTAAATCCCAGGACGCAGTGAATATCAGACGCCCTAATCACTATCACGTCCCAGAGTCTGACGAGCTGTGCGAATACATTCAACGCATTTTGTCACCTAGTCTACTGAGTATTCGGATAGAGGAACGACGAGTAACGGCAATAACTGCTTCCTTCCTTTTTTAATTTTCCCTATCAGATTGCTGTGATGCTCGGATGAGGGACAATTGCACTTTTTGGACGACCTTTAGTCACTCAGAATGCTTTTTTCAACGCATACATATACCACGAGTGCGTTTTTTTCTGGTTGCAAATATCATGAAGGTTAAGCGGAAATCAATTCCCAACTTGTAATTACGCAATACTATAGCAGTCAGGCTATAGTATAGCTAGACGTCACATCATTTAGTTTCATATATACTTTTTGCTTTCTCAAGTGATCAAAAGCGCCCAAATGGAAAGGTTGTCTGTACAGCTGTGCGGACAGGTAATTGATTATACGGAAAAACGTGCACATGCCCCGGAACCTATCAGTGCAGAATGTGTCGGTTAACCAGGTAAAGCGCATTTGTCATAATCGGAGCGAATGTACGGCAGTTGGTACTGAAAAAGCGCATGCAAAAATCGAACCTGTGAAAGTAGCCAACCGAAATTAGTGACAGGGGAAATGATAGCAAAGGCGCAGATGAGCAGAATCGAACTGAGAAGACCGTAGGTCTTCACAGAAGTAAGCTGTTACTTTTAAGGCACGTGCCGCAGTGATCACCTGCTCCTATGGTGAATATAAGTAAGCGTTACAATCCACAGCTATTTAAAGATGTTCAGAACAGACGTCGATGCGGGCAATCTGCGCATCACATTGGAAACAACCCCTCGTTGGTTTCAAACCTGTCGTTTTAAACTAGCTGATTATTTTCATTTTAAGTAGGCGCTTTTGTCACATCACCGGTATTTCCTCCAAAAGCACAGGAAAATCACTTAGTTAAACGAGCCTGAATAGTGAGGATATTTGAGAGCAACGAAACGTCGTACTGAACAAAAGCCGGGGAAAGCACTTTTTCCAACCAGATAGAGCATTGTTTTGACCAGCAATGTGCTAGTCAAAAGTCTGTCCGGACGAGAAACTGCGAACATAGGACAGTAATTTAGGTGACGCGTTTCAACTCTGGACTGTGTTACGGCATGGAGGCGACAAGAAAGCTGAATTTTCGGTGGCACATATTTTGAACCACAAAAAGCACTGGGTAAATTATTTACAAGAAACTTTAGTTCTGGTATTAGATGGAAGGGGGCAAGCAACCCTTCGTTTTAAAGTTTCGTCACTGGCTCGGTATTCAGTCCTTTGTAAGAGCCAAAATCGAGCAGTCCGCAAGCATAAGCAGAACAGCTAAGGAACGATTTCTCTAAGCACTCCATTTGCATGCGTGGATCAAGTAGTATCCCCTGCTGCTAGCGGTAGATAGGAGCTCTTTGCTTGTATCAACACGTTACCTGAGAGTAAGAAACATAACAGCTGTCGCAATATAAAAAGTTAGGGTGTTGAGCAAGGCTGCCTTACAAGTTATAAAAATTAACATCATCATCATCATACACGTTAGCTAGAGTTGGGGAACACCTCAGCTACTGTGCCGCAAAACAGAAAAAAGGAGAAAAAAGCAACTGGTGCAAGTCGGCTGAGCTACAGGTAACGGATGGGCATCGTTCTGGTAAGCTACCAACCGGCTACTGTGCATCGAAAAATTGCTATACAAAATTATATAGGGCCCAACCAACCCCCCAACCAGGGAGCCGAGACGTTCCAACCGAGGCTAGCTCAGAAGTGAGGGCCTTCATTCCCCTGGACCAAGTCATCGCTTGGCCACCCCTCCTCTTCTTCCATCCACACCCCCGGCGCGCAAACAACGCACGTCGCGGGAGTCGGTGGGCTGGCATGCGTAACACGTGGCCCAGCCATCGGAGCCTGGTGCGTGAAATCATGGTGTTGAGCGGTTCATTTTCTTTCCCTGTGCCGTAAACAATGCGTCGAACACGCTCGTTGCTCACGCGGTGTTCCCACCAGATGTCATATCGCCGTGTTAGAGTGAATCTTATAATGACCTGCCGTATTTTACATCTCGGTCATTTCCCCATGCTGAGGTCGTTACTTCACTTGCGAGTATCATGCACCACACGTGGGTACAGGTACAAACTCGTGGTACCTGATCTGAAGAAAATCCCACACCCCCTGTGTTTCGAGCGGAGGGTTGTGCACGACTGGAACAGTCTGCCAGAACACGTCGTCGAGGCCGAATCTGTGCAGAAATTCAAATCTTTGTTGGATTTACACTTCGCTAACATACGTTTCAGAGAACGGTTGCCACTTGACAACGATATCACTTACTTGTGACTCACTGTGTGAAAAAGCATTTTGTGCTACAGAAGTTGCTGAACAATCTGAGGATAACCACCGGACGTGTATTTTTGTTTAAAATGTTTTGATTATCACCCGATGGAGTTGTACAGAATTATTTTCTACTTGCTCCAAAATACAGTATTCAGTATGTGAGCTAAATTGCAAAGGCACCGGTGGTCGAACGTAACTAGCCTCTTCAGGTACGTTGCTTTAAGCGGCCAGATTTCACAACCGTACAGTAGGGTCGAACGTACCGCTGCATTGTACACTCTACCCTTCAGGGCAAGAGTGATGTCGCGCCGCCGTCATAGGTGGCGAAGATTAGCAAAAGCACCCCGAGCTTTTGCTAGACGGTTCGTGATCTCATCTCCAATCTTACGGGTGCTGATACAACTTCCCAGGTAGTTGCATTTCTGAACGACTTCTAGCTGACCCCCATCAAGGGTCAGCGTAGGAGGCGGTCCGGACCAATCTTGGAAAAACGTTTTGCACTTCGAGGGTGCGAAGCAAAGCAAAAATTAACATGCTAATAGCACACTTGTAATCGTTGTTGGAGGGGGAAACTAAAGGGAAGGCAGAGACAACACGAACAATACTGAAATCGACTTTTAGCCAAATGCGTTCAGTATCGTCCGGTCCCCAGCCAGGTAGTCGAGAAACAGAAAATGGCGCCAGCTTCGAGATGAAACGTCATTCCTCTTGGCCAAGTCATTGCTTGGCCTCCCCATCTTCGTCCATTCACATCCCCCGGTCGCGCAAACAACGCACGTTGCGGGAATCGCTAGGCCGGCATGCGCAACGTGACCCAGCCATCGGAGCCTGGTGCTGAGCGGTTCACTCGCTTTCTGCACCAAATACGCGACGCCGAAGAAGCTCATGGTTTACGCAGTGCACACACCAGACAAGCTAAGCTGCGAAGGTAGCTAGCCTCTATGTCTGTCCCTCACTTGTATAACTCACGGAAAGCAAGCAAAGGATCACGATTGATCAGATAACCCACAGCACAATTGCAGGCGAAAAGTGTTGTGGTAGTGAAATCGACATAGCGATTAAACTAAAAAATAGGAACCGGGTGTTTATTATCAACGGCTCATTTTGATTAAACTGAGCAATGAAACATTCAAGCACTTTCGACGGATAAGCTGTGGTTAAAAAACCAAAATCTAGATTACTACTACCGCAGCAATGCATTTTTGAATAGCTGAATCAATCCGGCAATAGTGACAGCTGCCCAACTTGTCTATGTAAACGAATGCAGGTAGCCCCGCAGCACCACAACGAACATGCAGCGTTGCGACCTACTGAGTAAAAGTTCGAGGACACAACTAGTTTTCATTAGTTGATTGCACTGATACACTGAGCAAACCAAAGCGACAGTTTGCAAAATGGCATAATGCACTGGAACATCACAAACAGGTAGAAGTTTGATGGAAGCAAAGGAATTAGCTGAGTTAGTTGACAGGTTATTTGGGTTCAGTATTTAGATAGGAAAATCTTGTCAACCCAACTGAACGGTCGAACTCGAGGCAATGGAAAATGCTACAAGTGCAAGTGTTTGACTATCTCGCCTACATGATGCAAATCGGCTGCGAAAATTCTCATTTCACTCACCGTAAGAGCTAAGATACACAAACAACGAGACCGCTAACGAAGGAATTGTTGCCGTAATGAAGGTGATGCTGCGGTATAAGTGAGTACATTTAGGGCAAGGTTGCACTTGAAACGTAATAAACAGTGCAGATAGAATGAAAACTGGACAAATGTTTCAACCGGGTTTAATCGTTGTCCAGTAAGCATTTGGCAGCTTTGGTGTGACGACAAAAGCTGGCTTACTTTTCGCCCTGAAGCTAGATTTCCTTGAAGTTGCAGAAATTCCGGACATCTGGTATAGTTCAGGGTTTACTTCTTGATTGGCTTCTTCCAGTATATCAATCAAATCTCGTGCTTGCTTGACGTTTTTAGAAGTGAAAAAAGTGAAAGCAGTCCCTTTTTTGTCACTTCGAGCAGTTCTGCCGATACGATGAATGTAATCTTCAGTTTGGTTCGGAAAGTCGAAGTTGATGACGTATTGAATATCATCGATATCTGAAAAGTCAAGTTATTAGAAACGTATGACACAAAAGTGTAAAGTGACAGGCTAAGTTTACTTACCAAGACCACGCGAGGCGACGTCAGTAGCTACCAACACGCATATTCGCCCGTCCCGGAAACCTGTAATGGTGAGATAACATTGCATAACACCTACTTGCAAGAGTTGCCTCTCTGTCTCGTTGTTGTTTGTCTCCATGCATAGCACCGACAGCAAACCCCTGTCGCCGTAAAGTGTAAGTTATTTGATCGGTTTTGCGCTTCGTCTCAGCGAAGACAAGGCAGCGCGCATGTCCGAATAGAGTTAGGAGTTCTACCAAGCGTCGCTCTTTATTCCACTCATCGACAACTTCTACGATTTGCGTAATGTTGGGGTTGGCATGTAGAGACACAGAGCCGATGTTCACCTGAATATAATCGGTCAGAAAATCCCGGGCTAATGTCTGCACTTCTCGAGGCCAGGTGGCCGACCACATGAGGGTTTGACGATCGGGACGTATTTGAGAGATTATAGTCCTGATCTGAGGCTCAAATCCCATGTCCAACATCCGATCTGCCTCGTCCAAGACCAAATAGGTAACTCTAGATAAAAGTTTTCTACAAAATGAACGTGCAAAAACAGGGTTAATTACTTTTCGCTTCTGACGAAATCAATCAAGCGCCCAGGTGTAGCGATACAAATCTCCGCACCACGCTGTAAATCGCGCATTTGGGGACCACGAGAGGAGCCCCCGTAAAAGCACATCGTGCGCATGCCAGCAGAAGAAGCGAACTCCTGCGCGACTGACAAAACCTGCTGAGCTAACTCTCTAGTAGGAACGAGGACCAGACAGATAGGCCCGTCACCCCTCGAAATGCGTGGCTGAGCTCCAATGTGTACCATTGCCGGTATAATAAATGACGCCGTCTTACCAGAGCCTGTTTGGGCAATTCCGACAACATCGCGGCCAGACAAGCCCATCGGTAAACCCTGGGCTTGAATAGGAGTAGGATTTAGCCAGCCATTCCTTGCGACCACCCTAATAATTTGATCGGGAAGGTTCAGCTCGGCAAACGAAAACACGGGACGCGGGATATTGGAACCAGAAATACTCATTTTATGCTCCATTCTAAAGGCATTTATTTCTGCTTCAGAGCGAGCAGCGGACATAGGGTGCTCGATATAAAAGCACTTCTCAAACTTGGGCAGTTCAGCAAGATTCCACTTGAGTGCTTGAACATCTTTGCCCAAATCAAACTTCCCACGTTTACCACCGGCGCCAGAGTTTCCCCACCTAAAAAGCAGATCTAAGATAAATATATACCATCATACCGTCTAATTGGGGATCGTGAACGACCGCCAGAACGACCACCGGAACGACCTGAACCGCGAGGCATATCCAAGGGGTACTAAGAATGGAAATGGCGACCGTGTGTTAAACAACTCGCAACAACTTAAACAAACCAATCAATAAAGTTTTTTGATAATATGTAGGCCTTTTATTGATCATATTTTTATTTTGACTACAAAGCTAAATAAAACAATAATTTTTATACTAATTCCAATTACTTGTCATCTTTTAGTAATTTGTTCCACGAAGCATGTGCCGTTCTGATTACGGTGAAGTGTACTCTTTTGGCGAGCAGCGAGACTACACTCTATAGTTGTTAGGACCGTTGTAAGCTTCGAACAGCGTTGTGTGAGCACGAAGAATCTCTTTGTACCGCTGGTTTTCGAACTAGCAAACATGTACTGCCTTTGTTATTGAACTTGAACGTGAAAGTTGTTGGGTTTGTTAAGCAATTGACATCCACCGGTGTTGTCTGCCGGTTGATAACGGCGGTTGGCAGCGTGATGGC